CCTGACGCATCCAACCTGCCGCGGAACGACTGAGTGCCGGCAACTGACGGGCGGCCGCCTTTTGCGCTCATCTGTTTTCCAGCAAATGTGCGTGACATTGGCGATATGCACGCAGTCTTTGCTGGTAAAAAGGAACATATTGCCTTGCTCTCAGGATGGTAAATCTCAAAAAATAAACAATAATAATTAAGAGAAAAAAACAGGATAAAAGGAAAACAAAAAGGCGAAAGAGTTTCGAAGGAGAGTGACAGTGGCCTCATAGGAAGCGAACTTTGTGACAAAAACCAGACGTCTGGGCTGATTTAGGCGGGGGGTCTACTAAGAGCTTATTCAAGCCTAAAGACTACCAATGGCGAAACCTCGAAACCGAAGTCTCCAAACATTCTTTCACGAGAAAAAAAGATCGCGTGAATAGGACTACAGCGAGTGCGGCCTGTAGGAGAGAGAGTCCAACGAGGGAGACTGGAATGGCCATCCTGACATATTGACCGTTATCAGCCACCTTATCCCAAAGAGGCATATCCACTACCTATCAGTAAACCGCCCGTACATATTCGCTAGAGAAGGCATTTGTACTTTGCAAACGCTGGTTAAAACTAACGACCGGACTAACGTGCAAATAGCGCATTCATTCGTGAAAAATTTTACATTTCGACCATTAAACATTTAGGGAAAAGAGACACATCTGAGAAAGAAAAAAAGACCTGAAAAACTAAATAGTTATCTGATTGACCATAAAAGATGGAATCATTTAGCCGTATCGATCCCGCACCCCTTCTTGTCTTTTTTAGGGCTCCAAGGTTACAGTAAATTTCGTGCCCGGTCAACAGATTCCAGTTAATTTGGGCTGTTCGGTAATTTCAGCGATTTAGGGTACGGGAGTTGACCAACTAACCCAAATATTCAATCACACGCTAAATTCAATTCAGCGGACCACATCCGACTTTAACAGAAAGAAGCTCCAAAAGACAGTTTTTCTTAATCCAAAATGCTAGTCTGTGGTGGTGTTCTACAGAGTACAAAGATTATTTATTTTGATCACCGGTTAGTGCTGCCACTTCGTTGATGCCGTCATCGTCTTACACTTGACAGGGAACCGTTTTTCTACTCTACAGGACCTTCTTGCAAATACTTGGTAGATGAACAACTATGCATTACATTTTTAGTTTTTCTAACGGAGATTTTATGATGCAACGGCTGGAGATACGCAGCTTTCGTGGACCTAGAAATAAACACCCACAAACATGGTATGTTTGGAACATGCCTTAGGATCCATGCAAAATGAAAATAACAAGCATTGCTATTGTTCTTGGCTATGAAGAAGAAACGTTTCGTATCCCACGTATGTTTTCTGTTTAATTTTCTGCATCGTATGAATTTCGTGGTACCAGTTCCGTGAAGCACGGTTCCAATCATACTTTACAGACAACCGCCGACGTTACCTGTTTTCGTCCTGCGTTACTATTATGAACATGCGCAAAAGGTACGACAGTGTATGTGCGCAATTGATCAATTGTACTTGAAATAGACTCCTAAGTGTTTGTCCGTTCAAAACGGCTTAGGCGTCGCGTGATTACAGTATAAACACCGGCTGCAATGTTAGCGACATCGTGAACTCTGCAGATATCAGTGTTGTTAGTCTTTATTGGATGACATACCTTAATGGAAGCATTTT